ATACCGATCCACCTCCTCTGGGCTCATCTGCGCCTCCTCCGCCAAGGCTGGCTGAATCCGGAAATGGCTCTCGAACCAAGAGTACCTGACAAACCCTGCTTGAGCGAGGGGAGGCTGAGTGCCGAGCAGGTTCACCTGGGCGGCGTCCCACTCATCCATATCGGTGTCGAAGGGGATCGGATCACCCCCTACCCCGATGCCGGTGAGCATCGAGAAATCATAAGGGGTCATCGTCACGTCCCCCGCAACGGAGAAGTGGAAGGAGTTGGTGGTATCCCACCACCTCTCCACTAAAGCGGCAAGCAAGGGCCTGCAGGTCATAAGCCGGGAGAGCCCCTGTAGAAAATGCCGAAACCAGCCTTGTCGACAATATAACGAACCGCGTCTGGCAGCTCTAGGTACCAATCCCGAGCAACGACATTCCCATACCCGCGGATGGTATGGGAATCCCCCTGTAATCAAAAACAACAATTGCGAGGCAATATTCAAAACGCAGTTTTAAGAAGCATATAGGTATACAACATGTGTGCATGTTTTCAAATTCGAATAGACATCGGGTGCCGGTGTACTTACAGTGAACTACAACGTTTGATGTGTCGGCGTGTTTGAGTGGTTCAGGGAAAATACAACATGTGTGCATGTTTTCAGACTCAAGCAGATACCGGGTACCAATGTGTATGCAGTGAAATACAATGTGAGCCGTGTGTTTGGGTGATTCAGGGTCAGTGCAGTGTGTGTGCACGTGTAAGTTTCAAACAGAGATCGGTTGTAAGTTTGTTTGCAATCAACTACAGTGTACAGTGTATCGGTGCATCCGGGCTAAACAGCTAGAGAACAGAATCAACTAATGGCAGTTATGTTCTACATTGCGAAAAATAATAAAACCGAAGAAAGAATGTTACCTCGGAAGCGCCGAAGGACAGATGGGAGGTGGGCTCACGCAGGAGAAGCTCGGGTGTCACGCCCCTCTCGAAGCTCCGGAACTGGCGTAGTCTGTCGAGGAGCATCACATAAACCGCAGGCCTGTAGGTCTCCGGATCGAACGGCCGGATATGAAGTGGCAAGGGGTCAGCCTCGGGATCCATCTCGAGCTCTGGAGGGGTCCCGCCCTATGGAAGATCGTCCGCCATCTCGAACAGGATGTGAAAATTGCCGGAAGACAAAAAACCGGGCGAGAATGTGAAAAGTCAACAAAAAGTCATACCCGAGAGGGCCGAAAAAGGCCGAAAAACCTGAAGTGCGGAAAAGGCACAGATATCGAGAAAAACTTGAGGGAAACAAGCCCCGAGTGGCAAAAATCAAGAAGGATACACCGAAACGAAGTTTCGTTCGGTTCAAAACGTTCGAAACGCGAAGGTATTCGCGAATCGGACAACGAAACGGGGGCTAGAACACACGAAAATGAGAGAATCAAAGGAGGAAAACACTCTAGAAAGAGAGGGAGAGGATTTTTAAGCAAAAGGAAGTGAACAAAATAGGGCTAGAAGCCCTATTTTAAAAGACCCATAGCCAAATGACAGAACTGCCCCGATACAGGGACTTTTTGCCGGTCGGCCACACTCTTTGCCGGTCGGCAAAATATTGTGCCGATGGAAATTGTATGATGGCCGATGGATGGTCGGTGATACATTTTGATGGCCGGTGGACATCCTGTGGTCTCCTACAGTGATTTTGGAGCCTCCTACACCCTTGTTTGAGTTATGTGTGGGGTCCAGGGCCTTTAGTGCTCAAAACAGTGCAAAACAGTGTATTTCCGACGCTCAACCGGCCTCCGCTTTGACCTCGGGTCGTGTCTTCTGTGTGTGGCACTCGAATTCATGCAAGGTGTATCCTTTCCGTATCCTTTTGGCTTTTACGAAACTCAAAAGTTGCCCCATGTGCATCACATGTCAATCGCACTGTCTTGTGCACTTGCGTTGTCTAATGCATCGCGTTACTTTGCGCATCTCATTGCATTTTGCATGCATTCAATTCATTACTTGCGTAGACCGCATGTTCTGCTTGCGTAAACCGCATGTTTGCAATCAACTTCATTACTTGCGTAGACTGCATGTTTTGCTTGCGTAGACCACATGTTTGTAATCAATTTCATTACTTGCGTAGACCGCATGTTTTGCTTGCGTAGACCACATGTTTGCAATCAACTTCATTACTTGCGTAGACCGCATGTTTTGCTTGCGTAGACCGCATGTTTGCAATCAATTTCACAACTTGCATAGACCGCATGTTTTGCTTGCGTAGACCGCATGTTTTGCTTGCGTAGACCGCATGTTTTCCCTGCGTAGACCGCATGTTTTCCCTGCGTAGACCGCATGTTTTGCTTGTGTAGACCGCATGGCTTCCCTGCGTAGACCGCATGTTTTACTTGCGTAGACCGCATGTTTATAATTAATTACGCTACTTGCGTAGACCGCATGTTTTTTCTTGCGTAGACCGCGTGTTTCCCTGCGTGGACCGCATGTTTATAATGAATTTCATTGCTTGCGTAGACCGCATGTTTTCCTTGCGTAGACCGTAATGCTTTCCCTGCGTAGACCGCATGTTTTATTTGCGTAGACCACATGTTCTCCTTGCGTGGACCGCATTCCTGTGTTCAAATTCGTTACCTGCGTAGACCGCATGTTTTACCTACGGAGACCGCATGTTCTACTTGCGTAGACTGCATGCTTATGATCAATTTCGTTGCCTGTGTAGACCGCGTGCTCCACTTACATGTTTGTGCCTTCACAGCATTGTTATGCTTCCCACTTGCTTTGCGTTGTCACGCATTTTCAAGTACATTAATATGCATGTTGTTAATAACATTGTACTTGTTAAGTTTGTTTTCTTTTCAGGCACGATATTGTATGTACGGTTCATTTGAGGCTGGTGCAACCAGACGAACCGGACAGGTATGGTATACTCCAAGTGAGCCATATCGAGAATTTTACGCGGTCTAGGAGACCTTAAATCCTCGGAAGGTGCAAGACCTTTAGTGCATTGATGTGCACAGTCCATTTGCATTGTCATGTATCTTAAAAGCCGCACGTTGTCGCGCACTTTGAAATCATGCATCATTTGCATTTCAAAAAAAACAAAAACAAATAATTGCATTGTCATGCATCATCGTAAATAGTTGCATTGTCATGCATCACTGCATATTTGTAGATATTGCATTGTAGCTTGCATGCATTCACTGCATCACTTTCGCCTATGGCTCGCGCCTTTCCATGATTGAGCTTTGGTCCGGTATGCGCCCATACTTCTCATGTCGAAGTATAGTTCAGTGGACCGTTCTATGTTAGACGTGGCTTGTACGTGTACATGCCCTTCCTAGGCAAAATTTGGTTTGGCCCGCAGGCCATATCCATTGTATTGCATTGTCATGCATCATTGCATATTTGTAGATATTGCATTGTAGCTTGCATGCATTCACTGCATCACTTCCACCTATGGCTCGCGCCTTTCCATGATTGAGCTTGGTCCGGTATGCGCCCATACTTCTCATGTCGAAGCATAGTTCAGTGGACCGTTCTATGTTAGACGTGGCTTGTATCTGTACATGCCTTTCCTAGGCAAGATTTGATTTGGCCCGCGTGCCATATCCATTGCCATTTCCCCAGCATTTTCACTATATATATTACATTGTAGTGTAATTGTTGCATCCGGCATTAGGATTGTAGTCCTTTCCCCAGCGGGTCGTTTCCCCACCTTTGTCATTCCCCCCAATACTTGTTCTTGTGTCCGTCTACATTACTCATAGTTCAGTTGACCGTTCTATGGTAGACGGACTTGTTACCTCCATCAATCTATTTGACATAGGTGTGGTTTCAAACCGCTCATGATTGGGTCATGATTCAATTACTTTGCATATAGTTTGCATTGTTTCAATTACATTACATTTTCATTTGCATTGTTTATACATAGTTTTGTATATATTGCATAGCATTTTGCATTCATTTTTGCATTGTCATGCATGTTGCTAACGATATGGTACCTGTTAAGTTTGCTTTCTTTGCAGGCACGATATTGTATGTACGGTTCATTTGAGGCTGGTGCAACCAGACGAACCGCACAGGTATTGGAATGGTCTGGCGAGACCTTAAACACGCACGGTCTAGGAGACCTTAAATCCTTGTTATGGTCTGGCGAGACCTTAAATACGCACGGTCTAGGAGACCTTAAATCCTTGGCATGGTCTGGCGAGACCTTAAACACGCACGGTCTAGGAGACCTTAAATCCTTGGTATGGTCTGGCGAGACCTTAAACACGCACGGTCTAGGAGACCTTAAATCCTTGGTATGGTCTGGCGAGACCTTAAACACGCACGGTCTAGGAGACCTTAAATCCTTGGCATGGTCTGGCGAGACCTTAAACACGCACGGTCTAGGAGACCTTAAATCCTTGGCATGGTCTGGCGAGACCTTAAACACGCACGGTCTAGGAGACCTTAAATCCTTGGCATGGTCTGGCGAGACCTTAAACACTACATATACACACACATATATCTTACTCAAGTAAAGAAGGTACAATCTATACAGAAGTAAGAGCTTCTTTAAAATATGTGGAACAGAATCCAACCAAGTCCAAAAAAAGACTTGAAGAGGATAGCAGCATTGTTGTCTTGCATCATTCATGAGAAATAGCCTTTATTCCTCAATTGAATAGGCTTGGATAGGCACTATGCAAGTCTTCTACAATTGGCCCAACTACGCTGTGTCTAGCTTTAGTAACTGTTCTAATTATGGCATTCTAAATATTAAATAGTAGAAAATAGTAAAACCAATAATCGAACCAAGCCAACTTGGTTCTCTCTCTAATCTCTCCTCTTTGTCTCCTTCACTTCCACTCTTCCTCAGCTACTACACTACAAATGGTGGCTCAGCAATAGTTCTACAATCTTTTTCAATTTCATCATAACAAAATAGCACATAAAAGTTGTATGACCTAAAGTTGTATATCAGATGAAGTATTTTCGTTCCATATTTAGAAACTCTGATTTATAGTATGTAAAAAGCATAAAGCAGTCTACAGATCAATTAAAATTGCAAGTTAGCAAAGAGGCCATATCCTTACATGAAGCTAGCAAGACATTGTCTTCTCCAATCCCTTCACTAGGCCCCGTAAAGAGCTCAACTCGCTTGTTGTCAAGATTGCTTGCACATCTACAACAACAACCACAAAAATGTGAAAACACAGCCGCATATACATAAAAACCTAAAAAGCATGACAAAGAATAACAATTAACATGAGAAAAGCTGAACACCTGAAAAATAAAGATTGTGACACTTAATAAACATTTCTCTTTATTTCATAAAAACAACTTACGCATGGGCAAATAATTTCTGATACATTATCTTAAAAAAAATGCATTTGAATTGACTAGTTTCAAAAAGGAAATAAAGATCATTTGAGGACAAATTATTTTCTAGAGCCATCCAGTGAACCAACAACAACAACAACAAACAAAACCAAAAAGGAACAAAAGAATGATCAAAAGCATGCTCAACAGAAATAAGGGATTCTATGGAACATGTGAACATATACAACAAACAAAACCAAAGAGGAACAAAAGAAAGAGAGAAAGCATGTTGAACATAAGGGTTGGTTTGGGATGTTTTAAAAAAGTGCACTTTTTGACTTATTAGTTTATATGGGTTGGGTTTGATGTGATGTGTTAGAGAGGTGATGTGATTTAAATAAGATGATATGACTTAAATAGGATAGTGACTTTTTGACTTTTTGACTTTTTTAGGTTATGCCAAACCAACCCTAAATAAGGGTTTTTATAGGACATGTGAACATGTATCACAACAAACAAAACCAAAAAGGAACAAAAGAATGATCAAAAGCATGCTCAACAGAAATAAGGGATTCTATGGAACATGTGAACATATACAACAAACAAAACCAAAGAGGAACAAAAGAAAGAGAGAAAGCATGTTGAACATAAATAAGGGTTTTTATAGGACATGTGAACATGTATCACATACACATGTTCAACAAAGAAAATGAAGACAGTTAACTACAAGGTTTTGAGCTGACCTCTTTGTCAGATTACACTGTTACTGTCAAATTAACATTTCAAATGAGTGAGGCTATGCATGACATGCATTTAGAAAGTTAATATAATAATCAAATAATCCTTCAATGGACTTCTGAAATGCTTCATCAATTGTTAAGTATTAAGTACTAGAGATGTTTACTTACTGCTTTTTCATAGCAACATATGAATTCAACTCTTTGATCTGCACAAAAACAGACACAACATTCATTATTGCAACATTCCGGCTATAGTTGCAGCATCAAATACCAAAACCCAAATTAAAGTATCAAAATGAGCCAACCAGTGATTGCTTTTTCTCGTTCAGTATCTTGTTTGTATCTGGATCGTTTCTATCCTCCAAACCTTTCAGCTCTCTATCAAACTCTTTAATAAGCCTGGAGAAACAATAATCATTATATGTTTCTGATTTATTAAAGACAGCAAAAAGGGGAAATAAATACTTAAAAATATAATCCACTATTAAAATCCCATTTATCTTGGTTGGTCCATCATGTTTAGTTGAAATTGTTGAGCATCAACAGGTTCAAATTGAGTTGCCCCTTGAAACAAAACAATGCCTCCACACTACATGTTGATATTTTATATAGCTACATGTTATTGCTTGAAAGAAAAATCTAAAACATGTTACTAATATTTTATCAATCATTTGAGGCATAGAAACTTGAATCCCAAAAACTTTTAAGATTTTGTTAATACAAACTTATGAGAACCTTAATTCTTCAGATTTAACTTTTAAGTTACCCAAGTGCAGTTTAATAATGTAACAATTCAGGTAGAAGAAGATAAAATTCATGTCCCTGAACTTTATTTGCATAATTTCAAAATATGTTTCCCTTTTCTTCAATGCAAATTCACCATTCCACCCAGAAATAAACATCAGCCAGAAGTTGTACCACACTGAAAAATACTGAAGTTTAAATTCCATCAATAAATGTAAATGCATATATATACATGCTCATGTAAATGTCTGCAAGTGCATTCATGCATTTGTGTGGGCGGTTGGTCTTCAAAACACTGATTACCTCTTACACTCCCGCAATTTGTCGGTGAGCTCTTCCAGCTGCCTACTCCGCCTATTCGAGTCCTTAATCTTCTCCAATTTCTGAAACCCATTTCTGCAAGAAAATAAACCCATTTTGGCTCATTAAAAACTCGTTCGAGCTCAAATTAGTTAAAAATGAGCCAATTTTGAACACATTTCAGAGCTCGTTAATGTTTTCAAACTACGCTTGAACAATAAATTACTAGATCGGCTCGGTTCAATAAGCCTAAGGCTACATAAAAATATCAAATTACTCGATCTTGCTCGACAAAAACTAACTTGTATGAGATCGGCTCCAAAATTTAACGAACAAATCTTGAATAGTTAACTGCTAGGCTTGTTTGACTCGTTTATCACCCTTACATACATCCTATAAACTATCAAAGTTGTGCAAATCTCCAACAAACAAATGCATTCACAATCAATAAGGCTTAAACAATAATTGAAGACAACGAACTCATTGAAAATGATAATATAATATCTGAAAATCCTTACGATAGAGCTCGAAATATATCAGCGATCTGACCATCGATCTCCGCAAGCTCCTCGCTAACCGTAGCTAACGAAGCCATCCTTCTTCAACCTCAATCACCCTCTACTTTTCTTATAAAATCAACAATACATCAAATTCCCTATACCAGTGCTTCACAAAAACATAATGCCAATCCACAAAATCGAAAAAATCAGCAATGGAAACAATCGGAGGTCACAGAATCCGAAATTAAGATCAAATGTTAACAAATTCCAGACGCATTCGAATATGCAATGCAGTATAAAGAAAATTGGAATGTGAATTGGCCCTAGGAGTCCGATCAATGGAGGTTTGGGCGTTTATGGATCTGATCGAAACCTAGGGTTTTTGTATGTGGATCTAGATAATCATTTCTCGTGAATAACAGGGACAATGCCTGGATTTTTTTATTTTTTTATTTTTGGGGAGTTTGGGAGGGACTTGAGAGGTTTAAACAAATACCGATATTTCGGCCGTTAAAACCGCAAAAATAGTGAAACCGACGATGTGTGGGGTCCACGCAAGTTTGGAGCCGGTGCTAAATGGCTTAGCTTATTAATTAGTGTACCAATATTAATTATGATATTATTATTAATTTCACTCATCAATCATATTACAAATATTAAAAAAAATTTAAATTATTCTACATTACACTAATTAATACATATAACATTATTCTTTCTATTCAAGTTGAAATGCTTTGTAAATCAGTTGTAATTTCACAAAGGGAGCCATATTCTTTCATTTAAGCCTCGTGGGATTGTTGCATCCTGGCAAGATTTTAGGGCATAAGTTCTGCAATCTCAAGTTTCACTTTTTTTTAGGGTAGTCACTCAGGTGACAATATATATGGTTGGTTGGATAAATTTTTCAAGGAAAATTTAGCTATAAATCTCATTTACCTTTATTTCATTGTTAAAAGGATTAAGAAAAAAATTATATTTTCTAAATCCCCTTATAATTATAAAGTCTTGCATAAAGGACAAAATTTATTATTTAAATATTTTATATGACTATTATACCCCTAGCTTCTGCATATATAATTAGCTTCGTCATCAACTGTATCATAATCACCATAATCGTGTCTTCGAAGCTTCAACAGAAGGTTGGTGGCACCATAGTCGCGTCTTCCAAGCTTCAACAGATCAAATTCATTGAAACAATAACACTAACAGATCATTAGAATCAATCAGACAAAGAATATAGCAGTTTCAATTACCAGAAATAGTTCAACATTGAAGGACCTAATTGTAACAAGCCCGCGGGGGGACCTCGCTACAGCTCGGACTCGACTTTTCGTAGTCACGGTTCTAAATCTGAACCAAGGAGTCCAAATCCGGCAAATCGTTTTAGGAAAACTGATTTTTGAAAGAAGTGCCAAACATGGACTGCTTTGCCAGATACAGAGTCGCCACCTAAATATTTTATTTTGGGAAATTTAGGAAACCCTGACTCGGTGCCAAAAGGCCACGCGTCCGTCATCACCAAAGTTGCCTCGGCTCGGGAACTTGGGTACGATTGGGGAAGGTCACTTCGTGAGCACCCCCGCTCGACCGGTCATAGACCGGCCTCTACTAACCATGATATCAATTTTTGAAAACATTGTGAGTTCTTATTCCGGTTTATTAACCTAGGTTACTATGTGAT